CCAATTCATGAACAGTATTTTAATTCAAGGTTATAGAAAAGACAAGTGTTTTTAATAAAATAAAATAGCATGCAACTTAGAGTAAATTTTAAAATAAAAACCTAATGTGGCAAATGAACTTAAGTAATTGTATAATATGTGCTTTATTTCACACCTAGCTAATTTATGATTTATTTTTCAATAGCTGTTTATGAAGCCATGACAGCTTTTGAAATGGAGAGAATTGCTAATTGTTAAATGAAGTTTATCTTTGGTGGAAAATGTTGACTAGCAAGACATTACAAAATTGGTTATTACTTAGGTAAGACTAGTAAGTCAGTTTTTAATATCCTCAATCAGTTTCTAATTTAAGTCTCCTAATAAAGGATATAAATTGATATAAGGCCAATATGAAAAAATGCATACATGTAAACATTAGTTGGACGATTTCAATTTCAGTGGGTATCACAAAAGTTAGTTTCTATAGCATTGTTCAACAGAGACTTGTCTTCATTAACTGTTGTTAGAAAAAATAGGAATTGGGGTAGCAGAAAGGAATGCCAAGACTTATAATCTGTAGTGGTGTTCTTCTTTCTGACATTGTTGAGTGGCATAACATTTTATTTGCTTACTGAAATCACTCTGAAGTTATTATAGCTAATAATCTTAAGTAATTTTTGTTTTCATGCCTCCTTTAATTTTTTTTAAGAGGAAGCTTTGAAATTCAGATAAAACCTTGTTTTATTTAATTATAAGAAAGTTTTGTATTTCAATATTGCTTTAAACTTTGGATGAATTCTGTGAATCCAAAGTTTTTTAAAGAACAGTCATGCCTAAGAACAAGGAGATGGACTATTTGATTTCTAAAGATTACTTCTAATTCTGTGATCTCATGAATCTGGGTGTTTTTTACTTTCCTTCTGGATATATTTCCATATCCATAGTTTCCAGTGACTTCACATATGGACTATGTTGGAGTTTTGTGACATGCAATGGTAGATTAAATATTTTTTTTAACAAAAAGAACCAGTAATCAAGATATTTGGTGGCTAAATATGTCACTCAATGGAATTTTAATTTTGTATCATTATTTAAAGTTCCTCATATTTGAAATTTGTAAGTGTTTAATTTTTAGGCTTCTCAATTGTGTATCTGCATTTTTTAACATCAAAATTTTTGTATGTTAGAGAAGCAATGTATAACTTTAGTTCTCATTTTCATGTGTAAGAAAATGCTAAATTTTAAACCAAATGTATTCTACAAGTTTTCTTGTAATTTTGGAAATGTGCTTTCCTATGAAAACTGTATTATGAAGTGAAATTTCTCAGGCCAACTCAGAAAAAGAAAATTTAAACAGTAATGTGTTTAGGAAGTAGCACTAATATTAACATTTTATCTATAACTAATGCCCTTTTAAACTTTATTTTTATCAAATTTTCTGAATTTCAACATTAATCATGGAATCTGTACTTTCTGTAGAAACTTTGCAGGCTTCATAGTCTGGCAAGACTGGAGCAAGGCATAGATACTGATATTTTCGAGTAGCTTTCATACTTGTGTAAGAGAAGACCCCTCCCTCTATACCATTGTTTTTTAAACCAAAGAACTCTGAAATTATTCAGGAGTGCCTCAGCCTTGCTTTCCAGTAGAACAGCTTTGTTTTTATTTGTTTCATATGTTGGGATTTGCCTAAGAGTTCATACTTTTATTTATTAGCTTGGTGATGAAGAACTCAGGTTCCTTTTTTTTTTCTTTTTTAAAGTTTTATTTATTTATTTTTTCCCCCAAAGCCCCAGTAGATAGTTGTATGTCATAGCTGCACATCTTTCTAGTTGCTGTATGTGGGATGTGGCCTCAGCACGGCCGGAGAAGCGGTGCGTCGGTGCGCACCAGGGATCCGAACCCGGGCCGCCAGCAGCGGAGCGTGCGCACTTAACCGCTAAGCCACGGGGCTGGCCCAGAACTCAGGTTCTTGAATAAGACTTCACGAATTCTTATATCTGCTCTACCAGGACTGATTTTGGAACCTTGATTAAGTTACTTCACCTCTCTGTGATTTGATTTCCTCATCTATAAGTTTGAGAGAATAATAGTACCTACTTCATAGGGTCTTTGTGAGAATTAAATGAGACAATACATGTACATTATCTAGAATAACACTTAGGTTCCAGTAAATGCATGAAACTTTGCACGTAAGTGGCTAAGTCTGTGTTAGAGCTGACAATTGTGTAATGTAACAGCTGGACTCTTACCACTATTAGATCATATCATTGAACTAAACTGAGGGAATGAAAGGAGTGAACTGGATCAAGGGATTAGGGCTAGAAGAAAAGATTTAGTACCTCTCTTTCAAAGGGCACCTTATAAGCTTAGATAATGAATTTTGCTTCTGAAAGATCATAGAAGGCTGTTACAGAAAGGAGGGTTTTTATGTCTGTTTTCCAGTGGTAAAGACTTGAGGGTGGTACTAAAAGAAAGTTTATTTCAGCCTGTTCTAGACTAGGGTTGTTTCAGAAAGCCTGGAAAATAGGTTGATTTTTCTAGAAACCTTTAAGGAAGCTGCTCAAGTAATTAGAAAGACTTGTGACTCTTAATAATTAAGTTAGAAGCACAACAGTTTTATGTAGTAATGAAACTTGGCTTAAAATAGCCTGAGTACAGATAACAAGTAATCACCATCAAATTATAAAAATACAGTGTTTGTGGGGGTGGATTATGAATTAAAATATTAATTTTGTGGTCTTAATTTTTAGTTTGCTTGACAAAAGAATAAACTATGTTATGGTAAATTATTTAAAAAATATATATGTTCTGCAAACATAAGCCATGGCATGTTATTTCCTTGGATATTTGTTTGTTTTTTAGCCCTAAAGCTAAAAACATGCAATGTCACCCAAACTTTTAACAACACAAATCACTTGTGGTGACCAAAGTAGTAAAGGTATATCTAGGAAGGAAACATTTGACAAAAGTCTTTTTGAAGGCATCTGAACAGTGATCATAGCCATCAAACTGTTATCTGGTATTCTTATATGTTAAATATATATTTAAGATTTAATGGAAGAGAAGAAAGGATGGCATTGTAACAACAAAAGAATTTACAGCAATTCAAATTTTAGCCAATTCAGAGAATCAATGGAAAAGAGTTGAAGCTAAGTCTAGAAATAAGATTTGAAAGAGTTGGCTGTTTCTAAAATGGAAGTTATATTACAGGCTCACAATCTATACTGGTAGAATTCTAAGCCAACCAGTGATTTTCCTATTTGTAAAGAAGGGTTATGTTACGAGCACTCAAACAACTTATATCCATAGAGAACCAACTTCCAAAAAGATCAAAATTACTGAAGCATTCTTTGAGTCAGCATGGCTTACAAAATTTGGAAATTAAGATTATGTATATAATATATTAATAACTATATTGAAATTTATAATTAATGTATATATTAATTACAATCTTAGGATTGATCATTAAAAGATAGGTTTTAACGGCATCAGGTCCAGCTATCTGGTTTTTATAGGTGAAGAGGAGCTGAGAAACTAAATGACTTGACTGAGATTGATTGATTAATTGTTGTTAGGTTTGATATAATAATCCTGGTCTTTCAGTAGATCCTCTTTCTATACTGTACTTTATGTTAATTTTGTCCTTTCTTAGAATAGTTAATTTTGACTTGGAATTTCTTGAACTTTTATTCAAGAAGACAAGGCAATTTCTGACAAATTATTTATTGTGATGCCTGTGACTTTTCAAGAAGATGAATCAACAGGGTTTCTTTTTGCTCTTGGTCATTTACTCATTGAATCAAGTGTGTGATGAAGGTGAACTAGCACATAAGCATAAAAGGAGGAACTGTGAGAAGATCACATTAACATGCTCTAATAACATGTATGTTAATAATATGACAGATCTTAGTTATATACTCTTTTAATATATCTAGTTACTGGATAATTTGTGGTTAGATGATTTGTGAAGGATATTCTGAAGTTTTTTAACTTACAAAAATTTAACATTCTGCGTTTTCATAAAGTGAGAAATAAAACTCCTCCCTAAAATAACAAACTTCTTTTAAAAATCAAATTCATTCCAATAAACAAAATTCACTGTGAATTTTGCATGTTTCCCGAAGGTTGTGTTGCAATCAGATGTCTATTATAAATTCATCCAGTGATGACTTGGAACTGAATATTGAAAGCAGTAGTTGGCTATACTCTGTTCTACTAGTTGACCTGATGAAATAGCAAAGCTTTCAGTAATTACAGTTAATCAACATTATGAATTATTCTTACAATTATTTAATCATAGGCTTTCTTTTATCATTATACATGTTTCTCAACTATTTTCCTGGATCTCTTTCCATCCTTACATCTATTTGCCATCTTTTTCATTGGTAGAAATACAGAGTAATTTTAATATGATCATATCTAAAACATTATTAGTCAAATATGCTTTAAAGGATGTATTTCAAAATCAAATACATTCTGTAGTGAATCTTTTATGATGCTCTCTTTCCCTCTCCTCCTCTCCTCCTCTCCTCCTCTTTCTGAGGAAAGAAATGATATAAGTTGTAGAGGGGAGTTCTTTGAAGAAAAAACAGAGTAGAAGAACTGTATTTCTCATCATGGGGTGACTGCATGAGAAACAAAGGAGGAATGAGGTTGAGGGACAAGATGGCATGGATGAGAGAGTAATTGTTTAAAGGAATGAGAGACTCATAGGACTTTAGAGATACTAGATGCCTACTGGGAGGGGGCTGTTAGTCTTTTTTGTTTAATTTATAGGAATTTATGTATAGTCTGGGTATATTTTCTTTGTCCAATATATGTGTAACTGTCTTCTTGCTTCTACTATTTAACAATAACAATAACAAAAGTATATTATGTATAGAAGATATTGATACATTGAATATTTCTAAACTGGAAATTTTGGAAGGAAATTAAAGTAATTAGTATTGAAAACACAGACTTTATACTTTTAAATTTAAAACCAAAATTACATTCTGTTATTCTGTTTTTGGTTTCAGGTGCAGTTAAAAACTAGCGTTTCTAGTCAGTATGTAATTCGGACACAGCCAACTAATAGGTGCCTTTCTACACTGGAGTGTGCAGCTATTGCTCTTTCCATCTTGGAGAAAAATACTTACATACAAGAGGTATGTCTGTGGAAAGTGATATAGTTTTTGAAAGTAGGAGTTTGGTTAGATTTTATCTAGAAAATTTAGAGGTGCATAACATGTTAAATTTGTAGCTCAAGTGACAAGTAAAATGTATCTGTGATAGAAATTTGTGTACTTTTGTAACCTTCTTTCCCCCTCTGGTGTTTTTCTGTGTTAGTTTAGCATTCCAGATTGGACTATTTAAATATTCATTCTAAGCTGTGCAAACAGCATTTGTAATATGCTAAATTGCTTTTAAGTAGCACAACATTAAATACAGTTTTTTTGGCTAGATTTTTCTTTTAGTATTTTGTATTTCTCTGTTAGTATTTTGTATTTTCTTGTACTCACCTTTTTAAGTTTTAATTAAAAGAATATTTTACAGGGGCCGCCTCATGGTGTAGTTGTTAGGTTTGGTGTGTTCCCCTCCGGTGGCCCGGGTTCACAGGTTCAAATCCCAGGCGTGGACCTACACGACTCATCAGCCACACTGTGGCAGCGACCCACATACAAAATTGAAGAGGATTGGTGTAGATGTTAGCTCAGGGCCACTCTTCCTCAAGCAAAAAAAGGAAGATTGGCAACAGCTGTTAGCTCAGGGCCACTCTTCCTCAAGCAAAAAAAGAAAGATTGGCAACAGCTATTAGCTCAGGGCTACTCTTCTTCAGGAAAAAGAAACAAAAGAATATTTTACAGCAACCTTTTCTTTTTTTACATTGGTGCTTTTATTTGAGGAGGTATACCAATTTCTTGTTTATCTTATTAACTTTGCTTAGAGTGTAAAAAAGATATAATTTTTTGAGAAAAACTCCTGCAGAATATGAAAAGGTTATAACCTGCAATCATCATTTTATTTAATTTCCATGAAAGCCTGATGATTTCATATATAATTAATAATCATCAGTAAAGAATAATGTTTGAGTGGGCTTACTAACATCTCAATCTTTTGGAATATGTGAAAAACTTTGCACTTATGGCAAAAGAAAAAAATAGTAAAACTTAAATTGTTAGAGTTTTTTAATCACTGAAAATTTTTGGTAAATACAACTCAAGAAGAAAAAGTCAGAGGATGGCAACATAACTAAATGGAGTTTTATAACGCCCCCCTCTAATACACACACACACACACACGCACACACACGAAGTACTCTTTCTTCTTTCTCTCTCTCTCATTATATACTATGGTTACTATTATAAGAGTGTGCCTTAGCCATGAAGGAGATTTCAATAATGGATAAAAGCTCAGGTCTGAGTAACTGGATTAGTTACCAAGAACAAGAACAAAAAACCTCCCGAGCGAGTAAGGAGAGTTAAAGAGTGCCAGAAGCAAGCGTTGAATGGCCTTTTTCCTCTCCCTACCCTAAGCCTTGGAAAAGGTCAGAGTTGAAGACTCTTCTTCTTTTGAAAGAAGTAGGCTTTCACGAGTAGGCTTTTTTTGTGTGTATTCGTGCGAGTAGACTTCGTTTTGGGTCTAGGCAATTTCTCTTTTTCTGTTCTCTCTCCTTTGAGAAAAACAAATTCATGAGGGCCCCTAGATCCTTACCCCAAATGACCAAGGAGTGTTCTCAGACTTTTCTCCCTCCCCTCTAACTTTATTGCCAACTCCAATGTATTATACCCCTATATTTGTCTTTCTATTTTGTTTATTCACCATCATCCCTGTATGTTCTTGAACAAAAAAACTACACTGTTTTAAGGTGTCTTAAAGAAAGATGAAACCCAGTGCTGTTGTTTAAACTTGCTTTCTGTATAATCTTTGTATTTATTTTCCTTTTTGTTGATGTAAAACTCTAGGATCAGCCAGCACATACCTGGGACCCATTAAAAGTTCAAGTCTTTAGGGAAAATATAATATTCTTTGGCTATAGATTTAATACTTTCTTTCCTCTCCTTGTTTTGGGTGCTGAAAAGAATTCTCTATATACTTATACCTCTTATTCCCACAGTTGGAATTGGATCGTTACTGCAATCCTAAACAGAAGCTTTAATGTTGGTGGTGGTGGTGGTTTAATAGTAGTAGTTGTAATATAATAGGGTTAGAGTTTGGGATAGGGTTTGTACCGCTACTGCTACTGCTGCTACTGTTCCCCCTTCCCAGTTTTATAAGATATATTATTCTGGTATTAATTAATGTACCATCACAGTAGGAAACCTATCTTATATTCTGAGTATAATATCTAACACAGGCAAAGTTTAAGATACAGAAAGGTGACAGGACCCAGGATCTCTTCAGCTTTTGTTATTGTTGTCTATGGATCAAATCGAATACAAAATCCTAAAGTAATAGTGACGTCCTAGAGTTCTCTTTGCTTTGGTCACTAGGAATAGTCATACTAAAGTTGCCAGGAGTAGAAAAAGGATGTTTGACAATTAGATGTGTGATTTGGGGGGTACTGATAAGATGGTCGATCGACGGGAGCATGAGCAGAAGAAATGTGTAATGAAACATCCCAAGTTGCTTATTATTAAAGCTGGCAAAAAATTAGCTTTCTTAGTGGGGGAACGCCAAGCTCAGCCTGTTCAAATCTAGCTACAATTAAAAAATGAGTACATTCCACTGAGAAACACAGTTACCATCTGCTCTGAACATAGGTATTTTTTCTCTTTCCTAGGGAGGAAAGCTATGACATACATTTTTCCCTTAATAACTTTTTATTAGGGGTATCCTAATAAAGCCTTAAGATGTTGGGGAAGAGTAGCAGTTTTTCACCTGGCTTCATTCTGTAGAGGTAGGCCTCCTCAAAACAAAGAACTTGGCATAGAATAGTGTTCTTAGCCTGTTGATTCTTCCTCATCCTTTATTCTTGAGCAGTTTTTCAGACACTTGGAAGTAGCATGGTATGAGTTTTGAAGCAGGTTTGAATCAAAACTTCATCACTTATCATCATCACTTTTTGCCAGTGGGCAATTTCTGTAATCTTTTTGTGCTTTGTTTTCTTATCTGTAATGTACAAAAAATAGTTACCTCATAATATTATTGTGACAATTGAATGGGATAATGTGTGTTAATTGCCTGACACCAGGCACTCAGGAAGGTTTAATCCTTTTGCCCTTCCTTGCCTCTCTTGGTTCTTGATGATAGATTGACAAAAATTATGAACTAAAAGTTGGTGGTTTTCCTTCAGCTACTATAATATTTACCAGGTCTTTTCATACCTTGGAAGCTTTGAGCTTGGGGATCGTCTTTATTATAGAACCTTCTCTTCTTTGGCAGTTTTACCTTATGAACTTGTATAGCCTGATGTGGCGAAGCTTTGTGCCGTAGCCTAAGTGCCTTAGCTCTACTCAACACCAGAAGTTGATAATAATGGTCCCTTGAAAACTGTCACTTTGCACCTACAGACAAAAGGATTTACAAAACACTGATTTCCCCCCAAACTTTTAGAAATGAACTAATTTTGTAAATAGAGGATTTTCTTAGTTCCTCTAAGCCAGTCCGTCTCTCATATAGTTCAAATTGCCTCAGATATGATGTTATTAATTTATATAGCAACATTATCATTTATTATCAAGTAGTGTGCTAAACACTTTAAATGCATCATCTTAGTGTACCATGATAATAACCTTGTAAGGTAGGTGTTACTGTCCTCATTTTACAGGTGAAGAAGATGAGGCAAAGAGAGGTTATATAACTTATCTGGGAACACATAGCTAGTAAGTGATTGCATTAGTCAAGATAGGCTAGATTTGGCTGCAGTAACTTAAAACTCCAAAATCAGAATGGCATAATACAGCAAAGGTTTACGCCTCTCTCACGCTGTCTGTCCAGTGGAGTTGCCGGGGACCTCTGCTCACTGCAGTCTCTTAGGGTCCCAGGCTGATGGAGACATCATCTAGACACGTCAGTCATTCTGCTTTCATCAAGGAAGGAATAAGGGGAGGTGGTGAATCATACACCGCTTTGAAAGCTTCTACCCAGAGTGACACACATTATTCGTGCTCACATTTCATTAACCAAAGCAAGTTATATGGCCATGCATAACTTCAAAGGGGGCTAGAAAAAACAATGTGATCATATACCAAGAAGGAGCACTGGAGTATTTGTGAAGAGCCCTAGTAACGACCACAGAGATAGAGTGGGGATCTAATCCAGATCTGTCTATCTCCAAAATTCATTCTCTTAATTACCTCAGAAAATTGGTAGAGTCTTATCTCCAGGAGATAAAAGTTGGAGGCCTTTAACCACAGGAATATTAGTATTCTCCTATCTATGAAGAATCTAATAAACGTCCTCACATAGCAATAGAACTTTCAGTTGTCTCAGTCTGTATATAGTCCTAGGTATGTTTCCTAGGTATGATCTTTCAGAATCCAATCAGTCCATTATGGCTCTGTAAAGTAATATATAGTTGTTTCCACATTTGCTCTCTTGTTTGAAGTAATGAAGATATTAGAAGAAATTATGAGAACAAGCTTAAGGGGCTTTCTACAGGAATGTCGTGCAGAGCTTTTCCAAGATGTTTATCTTTTTTTTATTGGTGTATAGCAGTTAGGAATTACATTTGGTTGCATGTAACAGAGCCGTTACTGCAGTGGTTGGAACATATAGGGATTTGTTTTTCTCCTGTAAATAAGAAATGCCAAAGTGAGCAGTCCAGGACTGGGGATGCAGCCTGAAAAGGACATCAATGACCCAGATTTCTTCCGTCTTTATGTCCTTCATCATATGTATTTGACTTTAATCTTTATGTTTATTGTACTGTAGTCACATGATGGTTATCTGATGTCTAGCAGTCATGTTCCAGGCAAGAAGAAAGGGCAAAAACCAATGCCTGCTAAGTCTGTCCAGTTTTAAAGAGTATCCCTGGAAGCCTCACCCTAAGACTTCTGCTTACATCTCATTGGATAGACTGTTCCATTAGCCAATGTAATATTACAAGCTGGACACATTGCCACCTTGAATAAAATTTTGGATTTTTTTAACAAAGAAGAAAAGAATGGATATGGAGAAGCAACTACTAGTGACTGCCACAGTTTATTAGTTCATTGTAAATTGAAGCTATTAAGCCCTTTGCTACCCCTTACATTGTATATGTAGGGGAGTAAATTTTCACATAGACATTGTGAATTTATTTTTGTTTTTTGAGGAAGGTTAGCCCTGAGCTAACATCTTTTGCCAATCCTCCTCTTTTTTGCTGAGGAAGATTAGCCCTGGGCTAACATCCGTGTCCATCTTCCTCCACTTTATATGGGACGCCACCACAGCATGGCTTGACAAGTGGGGCATAGGTCCACACCGGGATCCGAACCTGCAAACCCCGGGCCGCTGAAGCGGAGCGTGCAAACTTAACCATTACGCCACTGGGCTGGCCCCGACATTGTGAAATTTTTGTTGTTAAATCTGTCAGTGTTTTTGTTTGTTCCTTTTATGTTTTTTTTTTTTTTTTTTTATCAATCTGTTCAATCAAGCTTTTGCTGTTGTTATTTAAGAGATTTATATCAGGGGTCTCAGGCCCAAAGAAAGAATCTGACTCAAAATATGTTTAAAACACTGACATAGTGTTTTTATTTTTTTTTAATTTTTGAAAATGAATAAGTTTAGGTAGAGCATATGCTCCAGTTGTTTTACAGCCTCTACCATTCTCTTTATCTTACGGGTCCAGCCATGTGGGTCCAGCCATTTTGCATGTCTATGTATATGGCTGGCCCTATAGATATTGGAATTTAGACAGGTACATATACAGTTAGAATTATTTCAAATGCACCAAAACCTGGATATTTAGCTTGTGTGTGGTCCGTGGACTAGTGTGAGAGAATTAGTAAACCACTTACCCATTCCTGCCATCATCTCCTTGTTATCAGATAGCAGGAAGCTTGCATCAGTCTGTAAATGAAACTGAATTATCTAATTTGTATCTAAAGGTCTCTTTTAGTCTGCTTGTTACAGATTAAATTATTATAATGGCAACAATTTTTTGTGGTGTTTGACTATTAATGTGTAAAACTAAATTCAAACTTTATCACCCATATGGAAAATCTGTATTTGTATTCTTATTGGAATTCTTTAGTGGTGTGTAAGGTATGAATTTAAAGAAATTATTTATTTAGAAATAATCATATATTTATTAGCATGTCTATTGCTTTTCATAGTTAAAAGCCAATAATAATAAAAAGAAATGTAATCTGTGAAGAAAAAAATCTAGACAGAATATTATGATTTGTCACAGACACTTTTTTAGTATCTTTTTTTTATCTTAACAGACTTTGCTTCGCCCTCTTCAAGCTTTATGCTCTTTCCAGCTTCAGCATGGTGCTCAGATTCGCCTCAGCAAGGAACACCTTCTGAAAAACGGAATATATCCTAAGCCGATGCCAAAGAACAAACGCAAACTCAGGAAAATGGAACTGTTAATGAACAGTGTTAAAATTTAGTGCAGTTGTTCTTATGGTGCTAGTTATGGTGTCTTCAGCTGACAATACTAAGTTAAGTCTTCATACAATTTAAGTCTGTGGGCTTTTGACTGTCTAAAGAATGAGAGTTGCATACTAAACTTGCCCAGAAGAAGAAAGTAAACCAAATAGCTGTGAAGAGACAGACACACAGAAAAATTACTGACTCAGTAAAAAGCAAGATTTCATACTATGTTTATTTTTAAAAATGTGCCTCTATTACATTTTTTAAAATCCATAATTTGAAATGTGATTAGTTGTTGAGTTGGGTTAGAAGTTCTTATGGAAGGAAATTGTTCTGCCTGATTGGGACAGTATTATTTCCATTAATGATTATAGGATAATTAGGTATAGACCTATAATAGAGGATACCTACGTCAATTTGCAAAATTGTATGTGAACTTTATAGTTTGAAAATAATGATAAGCAAGTAGTTTAGATTGAACTTATTTCATAAAATAGTATAACAGAATAAGGAAACTATTCTTTAGGGACTAAACTTGAACTCAGTTAATGTGATTAGGTGTTCTATTAATTGCCATAATTTTTTTCTATTAAGGTCTAATTGACATATAACTTTGTTTTAGTTTCAGGTGTACAACATAATAATTTGATGCAGTCATGCATCACTTAACGACAAGGATGTGTTCTGAGAAATGCGTCATTAGGGAATTTCATCCTTGTGTGAACATCATAGAGTGTACTTACACAAACCTAGATGGGGTAGCCTACTACACACCTAGGCTATATGGTACTAATCTTATGGGACCACTGTTGTATATGCAGTCCATCATTGACCAAAATGATGTTATGTAGTGCGTGACTGTATTTGTATTCTTTGTGAAATGATCACCATGGTAAGTCTAATTAACATCTGTCACCATACATAGTTACAACAAATTTTTTTCTTGTGATAAGAACTTTTGAGATTTATTCTCAGCAACTTTCAAATATGCAAATTAACTGTAGTCACCATGCTGTACATTACATCCCCACGACGTATTTATTTTATAACTAGAAGTTTATATCTTTTGACCTCCTTCACCCATTGTGCCCACCCCCTGCCTCTGGCAACCACCAGTCTGTTCCTTGTATCTATGAGCTTTTTTTTTGTAGATTCCACTTATTAGTGATATCATGTGGTATTTGTCTTTCTCTATGTGACTTATTTCACTTAGCATAGTGCCCTCAAGGTCCATCCATGTTGTTGCAGATAGCAAGATTTCCTTCTTTTTTATCACTGAATAATATTCCGTTGTATGTATAGACTACATTTTTTTTCTTTTTATATTCATCCACTGATGGATGCTTAGGTTGTTTCTGTATCTTGGCTATTGTAAATAATGCTGCAGTGAACATGAGGGTGCATATATCTTTTCAAGTTAGTGTTTTTGTTATCTTTGGATAAATACCCAGAAGTGGAATTGCTGGATCATATGGTAGTTTTATTTTTAATTTTTTGAGGAGCCTCTGTATTGGTTTTCATAGTGGCTGCACCAATTTACATCCCCACCAGCAGTGCACAAGGGTTCCCTTTTCTCCACGTCCTTGTCAATGCTTGTTATTTCTTGTCTTTTTTGATAATAGCCATTTTAACAGGTGTGAGGTGATAGCTCATTGTGGTTTGGTTTGCATTTCCCTGATGGTCAGTGATGTTGAGCATCTTCTCAAATACCTGCTGGCCATCTGTATGTCCTCTTTGGAAAAATGTGTATTCAGATCTTCTGCCCATTTTTTAATAGGATTGTTTTTTTGCTATTTGGTTGTATTAGTTCTTTATATTTTTTAGATATTAGCCTTCTGTCAGATATGTGACTTGCAAATATTTTCTCTCATTCAGCAGGTTGCCCTTTCATTTTGTTGATAGTTTCCTTTGCTGTGAAGAATCTTTTTAGTTTGATGTAGTCCATCTTCTTAAATTTTTGCTTTTGTTGCCTTTGCTTTTGGTGTCAGATTCAAAAAATCATCGCCAAGACCAATGTCAGGGAGCTTACTGCCTATGTTTTCTTCTAGGAGTTTTATGGTTTGAGGTCTTATGTTCAAGTCCTTAATCCATTTTGAGTTAATTTTTGTGTATGGTGTAAGATAGTGGTCCAATTTCATTCTTTTGCCTGTGGCTGTCCAGTTTTCCCAGCACCATTTATTGAAGAGACTATCCTTTCCTTATTGTATATTCTTGGCTCCTTGTCGTAAATCAATTGACCTATATGCATGGATTTATTTCTGGGCTTTCTATTCTGTTCCATTGATCTATGTGTCTGTTTTTATGCCAATACCATACTGTTTTGATTACTATAGCTTTGTAATACAGTTTGAAATCAGGGAGCTTGATACTTCCGGCTTTGTTTTTTTTTCTCAAGATTGCTTTGGTTATTTGGAGTCTTTTGTGGTTCCATACAAATTTTAAGATTGTTCTATTTCTGTGAAAAATGCCATTGGAATTTTGATAGGGATTGCATTGAATCTGTAGATTGCTTTGGGTAGTAGCCCTAATTTTTAAAGAGGTGCATATAATTTTGAAATAGCACACATTTTCATTTGTAATCACTGGATAAGTTTAGATTTTTCACTATTCATTGAATAAGTTTATTGACTCTGTGACAAACTAGTTATGTTGAAGTTTTCATATGGAAATAACTGAAGTAGGATATAATACAGCTGTAATTTCAAGAACATATTTCTGTAACTAGGGCTATTTAAATCTTTTTTAGTGGGCAAAAACTTTGAATTTGAGAGAATAAAGTTTTTCCACCCCCTTGGGAAAATATTTACTGAGATTTTGTATAGAATAAGAGATATATATGTAGTATATATTTATATCCAACTTAAATCTACTGCAGTTATGTACACATTTTGGCAAGAAGAGGGGACTTTGTTTTGTTCTTTATTTATAACTTCTAGAGTTTTCTGTATCCAGTTTTAAGACGTAAGGAAAAACTAAATGTGATTTAAAAGTAAGCTTGATATATATGTGTGAATATGCGATACATGAACATACACCAATGGTTATTTCTGACCATTTTTATCCTTATTTATTCATTTATTGTTGACCTGGATTAGACCTTTATTAAAAGCTTTAATGCTGGTCATAACTAGAATGCTAATGAATGTTTGGGGAAACTATGCAGAAAATATTTTAAAATCTCAACAAAAGTTAGATTTCTATCTTCTATTATTGACTTTTTTTGGATTTAAAAACAAATTAGCTCATTTATAATCTAAAACACCTATAATATCAAATGATTATCTAGGTTTAATAGAGAAGAAATATAATAATGTATAATGAGTTCTTACCAAATGAGTTAAAATCATCTTGCAGTAATTTTTTTCATGTTAAAAATAAATTTGGCAAATTTCCTTTATCCATTATTGTTGCTTTTTTAAAAAAAGAAAGTTCCTACATAAGACACCATTTAAATCTTAAAATTTTACTTCAATTTGTGTTGATTTTTTAGAATAATTACTATTATCTTTTAAATACAACATTTTAGGATGTTTTTTGGACACTTAAGCAAGCTTAAAATTCCGTGTTGTTGGAAATGTATAAAATTTTTTGAAGAAAGTATGTATAGTTTTCCAAATTATTTTTCTGACCTCTTGAATTATGTTACTAATTTTTAATATTTTACTGACCTCTTACCAAGATCATGCCATTTAATCTTCTCTAGTATACAATGCTTCTTTAGTCACTTGCTTTTATTAAGCAGTTTTAAAAACTTTAAAAAAAGTTTTAAATAATATTTTTTAAAAATATTATTATTAGTATTTTTAGTTACTGAAAATTCTCGAAGTGTGTAGTATTATGTGAGGATTTTAGCTGAAAATGTAATCTGGTTTTTAAAAGTTGTTACTTTTTTATTGTATTGGTTTGCTTTAAATTCCTATGCTTTATGTTTGCTCCATTTGCCTGGACTAGAACCAGGTTTTGTGGATTTGTAACTTTACATGTACTCTGACTGCACTTTGATGTGGGGTAGATTGTTTTGTGAATTGTTATTTAAACCATGTAACTCAGAGGGTAGTATTCTCTTGTATACGAGGTGACCATACATTTAGTCAGTCCCTTTGTAGTGAGTTGAAAATCACTGTGTGATGAGTGATCTTAGTTTGAGAGTTTCTTGCACATGTGAGTATAAAGGGTTGAGAACTACAGTATCTGAAGCAAGTAACAGTGCTTGGCAGCTTTCTATAGCTTGGATTACAAGATTTCTTATGTGGAACATGGGAGTTACATCTATTAGGAAAAATTATGTGCCTCCACTTTAAGACTAGAAACCCAACTTTCCTTAGCCATGACCATTACAATGTTGTTTTTTCCCCAAGATTTTGGAACGAGCAAGCTCCTCACCACACTATTGTTAGTGAATTATGTAGCAGAGCACTTCTATATAACGTCTTCAGTTTCTTCATCACATATTCCCATTGATTGCCCTAAATTGGCTATTTAAAAACATGATCATGGCATTAGAGAATCCTTTCCATTGAATAATGCTGAATTTCAGGGAGGTAAATTGTTGACCCTTGGATACAGCTGCCTTTGGTATAGAAGTAAATGTTATTGATGCTGTAAGTAAAAATTAGGTTTGACTTAGTGAACTCAAAAGTTTTATATAACTGGACTTTTATTATATGGATTTATTCCTTAAAAATGGGTATGAGTGGGGGCTGGCCCGGTGGTGCAGGCGGTTAAGTGTGTGCACTCCTCTGTGGCGGCAGGGGGTTTGCAGGTTCAGATCCTGGGCGCGCACCCACACACCGCTTGGCAAGCCATGCTGTGGTGGCGTCCCATATAAAGTGGAGGAAGATGGGCACGGATGTTAGCCCAGGGCCAGTCTTCCTCAGCAAAAAACAAGGAGGATTGGCAGATGTTAGCACAGGGCTGATCTTCCTCACAAAAAAAAAAAAAATGGGTATGAGTGGATATTTTTATAGATAAATAATATTGTGTTTTAGATGTAATGAAACTGCGTTTAAATGTGTCCCATAGCATAGAATGAATCACTACCTCTTAATTTGTCCAATCTAATTTTTTTATTTACTGGATGTGTTTAGCATATTCTCCCTCCTTTCTCTTTTTTTTTTTTCAGCTTTGTTGAGGCTTCATTGACAAATAAAATGTAAGATATTTAAAGTGTACAACATGGTGATTTTGTATGCATATACATTGTGAAAAGATTCTCCCCATCAAGTTAATGAACAAACACATCCATCACCTCACATATTTACTTTTTTTTTTTTTTCGGTAATAACATTTAAGTTCTCCCCTCTTAGCAAATTTCAATTATACAATCCACTGTTGTCAACTAGAGTCACCATGTTCTCCCTCCTTTCTCTTCATACTTTCTTCTTCCTTCCCAGGCTCCTCTCCCTCTCTCATTACCCTCACTGTCCTCTTTCCTTTTCTACTATCCTTATCCTGTGTACTAGTTTCTTTTATTTTATTGTGTGTGAGGAAGATCAGCCCTGAGCTAACATCCATGCCAATCCTCCTCTTTTTGCAGAGGAAGACTGACCCTGGGCTAACATCTGTGCCCATCTTCCTCCACTTTATATGGGACACCGCCACAGCATGGCTTGACAAGCGGTGCGTCGGTGCACGCCCGAGA